CTGTACCTGCACGTCTTGGTTCCATTTGGTTTTGTCTGTTTTGTTTCTTAAAGTCCACTTATAAAAGTCAAATCCTACGGTATTTGCCTTTCTCTGACTGACTTATTTCATTTAGCCTCATGTCCTCCAGGTCCACAAATGGCAAGATCTCGTTCTTTTCTGTGGCTGAGTAGTATTCCATTGTATGCATACACCCCGTCTTTATCTGCCCATTTATCCATAGTTGTTAGGTTGTTTCCATATCTTCATACCCATATCTATTATAAACAATCCTGCAATGAAAATGATGCAGATATCTTTTCAAATTAGTGTTTTCATTTTCTTTGGACAAATACCAAGAAGTAGAATTGGGGGATCATATGGTAGCTCGACTTTAAATTTTTTGAGGCAACTCCATACTGTTTTCCGCAGTGGCTGCACCAAGCTGCCCTCCCACTGTGTGTGGGGTTCCCTTTTATCCACGTTCTTGCCAAGACTTGTTGTTTCTTGTCTTTTGATAATGGGAGATAATATCTCCTTGTGGTTTTGATTTACATGTCCCTGATGATAAGTGACGCTGAGCATCTTTTCATGTGCCTATTGGCCGTCTGGGTGTCTTCTTTGAAAAGTATCTATTCAGATCATCTGCCCATGTTTAATCAGATTGTTTGGTTTTGTGTTACCGAGTTATATGTGTTCTTTATATAGCTTAGATATTAGCCCCTTATCGGATATATGATTTATAAATATTTCTCCCATTCAGTACATTGCCTTTTTCATGTTGTTGGTGGTTTTCTTTGCTTTGCAGAGACTTTTTAGTTTGATGTAGTCCCATTTGTTAATTTTTGCTTGTGTCACCCTTATCTGAAGAGACAGATCCAAAAAAAAAATCACTAAGACTGATGTTGAGGAGCTTACCACTTACATTTTCTTCTAGCAGTTTTGTGGTTTCAGGTCTTACATTCAAATCTTTAATTCACTTTGAAATAGATTTTGTATATGGTATAGGAAAGTGGTCCATTTTCATTCTTTTGCATATGGTTGTCCAGTGTTTCTGACATTGTTTATTGGAGAGACTATCTTTTCCCCATTATATATTCTTCTTTCTTCTTTTGTAAATTAATGAACAATATATACATGGGTTTATTTCTGGGCTTTCTGTTCTGTTTCATGGATCTATGTGACTGTTTTGATGCCAGTACTCTAGTGTTTTGATTAGTATAGCTTTTGTATTATAGTTTGAAATCAGGCACTGTGATACCTCTGGCCGTGAGTGCTGTGAAGTGTGTAAACCTGGCGATTCACAGACCTGTACCCCTGGGGATAAAAAGATATTATATGTTTATGAAAAATAAAATTAAAAAAAAAAGAAAAGACAACCTGGGAATTGTGTGCACCTCTCCATTTGCTATTATTTGCATGATAAGGAAGTAGATTTAGATCTTACAGAACAATATAATGATCTAGAGGGCTTCCTTGTACAACTAAAATGCAGTGCAGGCCACATATAAAATTTGTAATTTTCCAGCAGCAACATTAAAAAAAGCAAAATGAAACCAGTGAAAATAATTTTAAGAAGATGTTTTATCCAACCCATTATGCCCACCGATTATTTTACCGTGTAACTAGTGTAAAAATTATTAAGGAGCTGTTTTGTACTTTTTTGTTTCGTACTAAGTCTCTGAAATCTGGTATATGTTTTATGCTTATGACACGTCTCGATTTGGACCAGCAGCGTTTCAAGTGCTCGATGGTCACATGCGGCCACTGGCTGCTGCGGTGACCAGGGGTGCTCTGGAAAGAAAGATCAGTGACCGGTGTGCCGTATTCAGAAGAATAAGCCAGACAGGGTGGAAATTTTAAATTATTTCAAGGGAGGTGAGAGCAAGACTAGGCAGTTTTTATGAGGTCCATTTCCTTGTGTGAGAAAACTATAATTTTCTTCTAAGCAATGAATCAACATAAAAATGTGATCCATTAGCAAATGTAGTCTCATATTAAGATACTATTATGTGACCTAGCATTAAATGTTTCACTTCTGTCCTTGGTAATTTTGGAAGGTGCTTAATTTGGGGCAGTTAGCTTGGTTAAATATTACAGATGCCAAATAAATAATCTATTTTAAAAGAGCCTGGTTGGCAGTCTGAAGAAGAGGCTGGCCCAGTGGTCCAGAATACATGGCCCGGTATTAGAATATAGGAAGCCTTACCTGGAACAGGGCCCAAATTCATGCTGCCATTTAAGATTTATGCATGGGGGCACCTGGGTGGCTCAGTGGGTTAAGCCTCTGCCTTTGGCTCAGGTTGTGATCCCAGGGTCCTGGGATCGAGCCCCCGCATCGGGCTCTCTGCTCAGCAGGGAGACTGCTTCTCTCTCTCTCTCTCTGCCTGCCTCTCTGCCTACTTGTGATCTCTGTCTGTCAAATAAATAAATAAAATCTTTGAAAAAAAAAAAAGATTTATCTGTGAAGGGACCCCTATTGATCTGAGTTCATATCCTACTTCTTCCTATCTTTGAAAGTGTAAAAAGCACTATCATCCCTCGCAGCCCAGCATGGACTCCTCTGAAACACCTGGCCACTTTTTGTTCCCCTTTAATCCCTCAGTCCCAGTACTGGGTGGCTAACTTGGCAAAAAGTAAAGAAACGAGCCTTCTATTGTGTTCATTTGCACCAATAATGACAATGGATATGTGCCAAGAGCTGTATGACTGTGAAATTCAGTTTTCCGTACTGGAGAGAAGGTGTGTCCAGATGCTTGGGGAGTAGCTTGATCTGAGCCTTTCCAGACACCCTAGCTTTCATGGATAGTAAATGCAGTTTATTTTCCGTACTAAGTCATTGCCTCATTGGACTTTGGAGAGCTTAAGAATAATCATATAATTCTCAATGTAGTGCCCATTTCTTTTTTTTTTTTTTAAGATCTTATTTATTTATTTGACAGACAGAGATCACAAGTAGGCAGAGAGGAGGCAGAGAGAGAGGAGGAAGCAGGCTCCCCGCTGAGCAGAGAGCCGGACTCGGGGCTCCATCCCAGGACCCTGGGATTATGACCTGAGCTGAAGGCAGAGGCTCTCACCAACTGAGCCACCCAGGCACCCCTAGTGCCCATTTCTGAAAGTGAGATCAACCTCATAGTTATGGTTATGATGGATGCCATCATGAAGGGGGAAAAAAACCTTGCTGGGTATGTTTCTACTTTCAACTGCCTAGGACTTTCTTAACGCCAGTCCCAAGTGTGGACAAGTGTCTTCTGCTGTAAGCACACCTACATGCCTGGCTGGTCCTTGGATTTTTGCCATAGTCAAGTTAGATCAGGCTTTTTAGGGCAAGTGCATTTTAACTACTATAACCAATCCATATTTAATAGGCTATAAAGTTGTTATAGGGCAAGCAGAAAGAATATTGCAAAAGCTCTAAAAATTTGTGGCAAGTTTATACCATGTGGTAGTGGTTATGCTGATAAATTACTCATTTCCTACGCATTTCTTACCATTCCTGCTTATTGACCCAATTTAGTTCTTTTATTCTATATTTATAATTGTCATATTTGCATTATAAGTTGGCACTACTATTGGCCACGAATATAAACTATCTAGAGAAAGTCAGGATGTGGAACAATACAGACCTGATGTACAGATTCTTTAGATTCTAGAAACATCGCTACCAGCTCCTTGACAATCTCTATTATAGAACCAAACCAAATTCATGTTCCTTTTGAAAAACGATCATTCATCTAGATTCTTCTTATTGTGTGTGTTTTGTTGTAAACTCCCAAACATAAGTTGCACTCTTGTATTTTTCTAAGAAAACCCATAAACTTGGACCCTGGTGGTAAGATAACCAGTTAAGACAAAGCCATTGTCTTCATTCATCACACCCTTCACTGCAAGGTATATTGTTCCATAAACGTGGGATCTCATTAGGGGAAAACAACCTTGGTCCTGCCTCGCAAATGAAGACCAGAATTTTGTGTGTTTCGCCAAAATGCCTTCTGTGAGTTTCAACTTCACGCAGGGCTTCAAGATTTAAATGCTACATACATTAAATGACATTTTGACTTTGCCCTTAGTCTCTTCTTGTGCCCACTTCTAAACACTAACGGCCCTATCTCTTTACGAATATGTCATTTTTCTCATAATTGAGTTTCTACATTATTTAATTTGTATAGTCACACTGCCACGTTGTCTAACTTTGTGTGCGGACTGTTGTAGTTCATCAGGTATCCTCTGTAAGAGTGTAACTTCATATGCACAAGTGGGATGTCGGCTTGCAAGTAGAGGCTGAGAGTAGTGTTGTGTTGAGAGGGAAGATTTGAAAGAAGGTATGGGTCTTAATAGTTGGCTTTTGTTGCCCAGTATCAGAAAGTTACTGTCCATGCAACACTTTTTCTTTCCCGTCGTATCCAAGTAAAATGTGAACTTGTCAGTGTCCAGTAAGTAGTGGAGGATCCAGGAGGGTAGCTTCAAATTCTGCGGAATGAGAGTGGAATACTTCTAATGTCGATCAGTGCTCGTGAGGTTCCCTGGGAATCACGGAGGGTGTGTTTTAAGCACAGAAGACTCCCTTGTGCTTGTTAAAGCTACAGAGCCCTCGCGCCCTGATGGCTGAGCCTTTGATTGGGTGGATCTGGACCAACCTGCAGGCCGCAGTCTTTCCAGCTGATCCCGCTTTGAGGCCGCGGCTACGAGGCTTCTTGTTCACTCGGTGCCCACACGGCACTGGCGTCTTGTGAAACGCGGAGTGAAGTTCGGGAGGTCTGGGGTGGCGCCTGAGACTTTGCATTTCTCTCATGCTCCCAGGTGATGCTTGAGGAACTCTGACTTTGCAACTTGACCGGTCGTGGGTGCCTTTGCATTTCTTTGTGTCATGAACTCACTACCTTTTGGCTTTGGACCGTGTATACATTTGGGCTAGGTTTTCAGCTCCTCTAAACCCGGTCTGATGTCATTTCAAACTACTTACCTTGTCTTTTTTGTTGTTGCTATTCTTTTTTTTTTTTTTTAAATGACTACAGATGTGCACCTGTTGTGTCCTGAAGTGCCATCAGCTGTAACAGGAACTCCCGACCGCAAGACCTCCTCCAGGCGTCCCGGCGCCCAGGAACCCAAGGCCATGGAGCTGTCCGACAGCGACCGGCCGGTCAGCTTCGGCTCCACGTCGTCCTCCGCCTCTTCCCGGGACAGCCATGGTTCCTTTGGCAGCAGAATGACCTTAGTCTCCAACAGCCACTTGGGCTTGTTTCACCAAGATAAGGAAGCCGGGGCCATAAACCTGGAGCTGATTCCAGCCGGGCCGTTTTCCAGCAGCGAGCTGCCGCGGGACCTCCCCGCAGGGCCCCGGAGCACGGACGAGGGCGCAGCAACTCCGCCCCGGGCCCCGCGGAGGATGGAAGCCCATGGGGCGAGCAGGACAGGTGGCCCGTCGTCGGCCACGAGCCCCAAGCTCCTCTATGTGGATAGAGTCGTTCAGGAGATACTAGAGACCGAAAGGACTTACGTGCAGGACTTGAAAAGCATCGTAGAGGTAAGGCAGACTTTTTTGTTGGGTTCTTGTAAAGCTTGTCGTGCAGGAGAGATAGGCTTGCAAAATAATGAACAAAGCCAGGTGTCCGGGATGTTTTGTCTCCTAAGCCGCAGAAATGGGGTGAATGTTGAAACAGATCATCACGCAAGAGGAACCCAAGGACCATATTCGTTGTGTTAAAAATCCTTTTCGTATTTGCAACAATGCACTAATTTTGTGTTCGAAGCAAGAATGGGGTGCCCACGCGACCACCAGTCGGTATTAATAACTCCCCCCGACCCCCCAGAGCCCACACTGGAGCCGGACTTGAAGCGACCTGACTGACTGAGGTCAGGTGTACTTATCCAGACGAGTCCCTCCGGCTATGTCCACCTTAATCACAATTGTCTGCTGGTGTCTGGGAGCTTCCCAGACAGGTACTGATACCTGTGCCGCACCTCCGGAGACTGTGACTTTGAGGTCCTGGGGTATGACCCCAGCAGAGGGATGGTAGAAGGTCCCCAAGGGATTCACACAAACTTCGGAGCCACTGTCCATGCTGTTCTCTGTTGGCTGGTGTTTGGGGGACGGTGGGGAAAGTTAGGGGAAAACCATGGGCTTTGTCTTGCCTCTGGCATTTACTTTTTGTTCACTTTGATAGTACACAAGTTCGCGTATATTATATGAATCAGGCTCAGCTGATGGGCCTGATTAGGTACTCTGGAAATTGAGTTATGAATTGACTTTGAGTTATCGATAGGTTTTTAAGGATGAAGTAAAAATTACCAGCGCACCTCAGATGTTAACACATTCTCAATGAATGATGAAAAATATGACTATTTCAAAGGCAGATTTACATATTATAAATTGGACCCATGTTGCCGCCTGGGACTATACCAAGTTCTTTGAGTTGTTAGTGCCCACTTCCTGGGTTAGACTTTTAATCTAAAATGCTTCAGAGTAGAGTGGAATATTTTTTGATGAGCACATTCTGCACCAAATACATGCATTCTTAGAGCTTTAGAAAAAAGATTCTGAGGCATAATTGTGTGTTGAGTTCCATAAATGACAGAACCAGACACTGTCTACTAAAAATAGTTAGTTATGACATAACTTCCCGGTAAAAATAGAAAAATCAATTGATGCTCAACCAAAACAATATGTGATACCAAATGTAGAATACAGAAGGCCAATTTTCTTTTTAATTTCAACAATGATGTCATTTGTACTTGCGAAGAAATACCTGTGAAACTGCCAAAAATGTTGCAGCCTCTCACGAAATTCATGCCTGTCAAAGCTTTCTTTGGGCTGTTCTTTCTCTTTTCTTTTTTGGAAATCTCTCCACCTACCAAAGTTCACCATTCTGAGAGAGAAGCCGTAAGTTACTGAACTCATACTCCGTGAACCCTGTTGTTTTCTGAGGCTGGGTGATAAACTTTGGTGAGAGGAAACAGGTTAGATCTGAACAAAAGGTGACCGATAAAGACAGGATATTTTTTGCTAAGAAAGTTTGAGTAGAAGTTCTATTCCAAGCTGCCCAGATGTTCTTGCTTTTTTTTTCCCCCCATAATCGGTGAATTAACCGTACTTCACACTGGGGGTTGGTGGACTTTTTCTATAAAGAGCACAAAAGTAAATGTTAGGGTTTCTGGGCCCTAAGGTCTCCCTTATAACCGCTCAGGTCTGCTGTTGGAGCTCTAACGCAGCCACAGACACTACATCAATGAATGGGTACGAGTTTTCCAGTAAAACTTTAGGGCTAGGTTTGACCCAGGGGCCAGAGTTTGAGGCTATGAAATGGTGCCTGTGTTTCATTAACTCTAAAATGAGACTAATAAATAGCCACCTCATAGGATTAGTGTGAGAATTAAAAAATCCATGAAAAGCTCTTAGAACAGGATGTGGCCCACAGTAAGCAGTTAGTGCCTGTTGTTACCAGATGTTCATATCCTCATCACCAGCCTCCTCCGAATTGGCCGGTTGAGAGGGGCCGCCCTTCAGCTACGCCGTGTTTTACCCAAAGTCTTTCACAGAAATAAGCAGGTTAGTCAGCGCACTACGGCAAGCGATCTCATTAGGAAAAAAATTTAACCCGGGGATCCCAGCTTTACTGTTTTGTGTGCAGTTGGATTATTTTCAGTGTATCCATTGAAAATCTGAGGTGACACATCGTTAGGGAGAGGAAAGGTGAAGAAGGGTGTTAGGAGGAAGAGGACTCAGGGGACAGAAGTCCCAAACGTCCTGAGAGGCACCCATGTAGGTCGAAGTAAATGCTGCTGGGTTCCAGAATTCACCAGAATGCTTTGGCTTTTTTACCTCTCCACCTCGAAAATGCCAGACTCTTCAGATGAGGGATTAGTTGTCACAGGATTTTCCACACATACTTTTGTTATGGGGCCACCCATGTTCCTCCAGAGCACAGTTTTCACAGAACACTTAGACTCCTTTTATCTAGTTCTCCCCTTGATGAAGAACAACCAATTATTTTTCTACACGCAACAACTCTACCCAATGAAGACTGTGAAAATCAGTATTCTTTTAAAATACGAAGTGTCCATGCCATTCAAATGTATTTTCCTCAATCCGTTTCTTATTTTTAGAGTTCTGTAGTTGACTTCTCTCCTATCCTCAATTTTTTCAAATGCAGAATTTTAACATGGGAAGAGAGCTGCTCGGTAGCAAACCTGCTAATACAGGTTCTCACCACACCTAAGGGGTGGAACTTGTTAGTCGGCTCCTTGTCAGCAAGAATTATTTCTGAGGGGAAAAAAAAAAAAAAATCTAAGCATTTATGGAGATGCTGGTAAGTCCCGTTTCATCCAAGCAGGAGCACATTTCTGATTTTCTGCTCACTGCCTAACTGAATCCCATCTAACCAATGCGCCTTGATAGCCATCTTCAACTTAAACGATTTCCCCTGTAAGTAGCACATTTTATCCTTGTACCATGTTCATACATCATCTCCACAGGTCAGGTTTAGAATTGTTTGTAGGATTTATAAATGGAAACACTTTTGTGAAAGATCACTGATATATACATAGAATTTAAGAGACATTTACACAGGAGCGTCCAGCTGGCTCGGTCCACAGCGCATGCAACTCTTGATCTCGGGGTTGTGAGTTCGAGCCCCACATTAGGTGTAGAGATTGCTTAAAAATAAAATCTTTAAAAAGTTTAAAGATAAAAATAAAATCTTTTATTAAAAAAAGAGAGAGAGAGAGAGAGAGGCATTAACACCATGTGCTTTGACCTGTTCAACTTGGTCCCAGAGTAACTGATTTTGGAGAAGAGATCCTTCCAACCTTATTTAGGCAAAAGAATCCCCAGATGTTGGTTACACCTACAAAGGTTATCTGCCTTTTATCCCATATGTAGAGAGATTGTATTAATCCCAAATATATAGGTCTTTTTCCTTTCCTATTTCCTGAACATTAAAAAAATATTATTCTTATCCCTATTGCTCTTTATTTCTCCTCCCCCAGAGCCTTTGTTGTGAACCTTCTGCTCCTCCCTCCCCGCCATGGCTACTCCATCCTCTGCTTCTTTGCCCGACCTGCTAGTCATCTAATTTTGTAGTCTTGACATTTGAGAGAGAGAGAGGAAGAGGGAAAGAAAGAGAGGTGAGATCTTGACTATCCCTCCTTCTCAAAGGAACTATGGAGCTGTTATTTCCATTTCTCTGTGTGGCTCCTAATAGCATTCACAGATAAAATGAGGTAATAAATAAGAAAGCAAGTTTTAAAAGTTAAAAGTAAAATAGCCAATGAGAAGTTTGTGAAGAGACAGAAATCCGTGGTTGGAAAGTAGAAAAGATCTCTTTCATGTTTAATGGAACCTTACAATAACTGAGTGGGGACTCTCATGGGTAGAGGGGGTTTCTTTAATCTTCCTAAATGATCTATAAAAAGAGCCTTAGAAAGCCTCATAAGATTTGGTCCCAGATAACCTTTATGGCCTGTTTTAGCCTTTTAGGAAAGTTTTTAAATAGTCCATAATGTTATATAATGCTGTACAATTAGAAGTTAATTCCCTACTACAAAATAGCATCTTTGAACTGTAAGAAATGCTCCATTAAATCATCTCTTGGAACACTGAGGACATACGTATTTAGTAGAAAAAAGTGGGTAAAACACTCAGCGTAACATGAGTTTGTTTTTTCCTATCATCGTCTAGAGAGCTAAAATTCTTTTCAAGCACCTTCGTCCACACACTGTATTAAAAAGCTGAGAAGTGAGTATCCCAGCCCTAATGTTTAAAACTTAAAGAGCCAAAACCTTAAGCATAGCTTTGTTGAGAGCATTCAGCATTGTCCAGAAGCCGTAGCTGAACAAGGATTATAGAATGTTGATCTCCGACCCCCCCAGCTCTTGTGTTTACCAGTCTACAGGGACTCTTTGTTTAGTGCGTGATAGTGTACACAGTGTCAGGGCAGGTGGAGGAAAAGAAGGATGCTTTTCACACGCTTCGTGACGTGGAACGCACTGAAAGCTGTTCTGCCCCATTGCCGTGGCTTCGAGAAGAGGTTGCTCTTGGTACTGGAAGCACCACGTCTAAGTTAGAAGAATAACCTTTTTACACTTGGGAAGCAAGCCTTCTCTCAAATCTGCAGGGGGGAGGAAAGAAACCTCGTGACCAGGCCTGAGTAGTCTGGAGGGCCTGTCCACCATTTTCTCTGTCTAGAGACTTAGCTAGAGACTCAGACTCAGATAGAATGGAATCTGAGTAGGCTTTTGTCCAGGGCCACCCCGCCCTCTAGGACACCACTGTGGATTTGGATGTGGTTTTCTGATAAGTCTGGCTGTCTTTGGACCCCTTGGAGAAACAAGACTGTTTGGTGTGGAAAGGGAGCAGTTCGTGTCTCTGCCACTCTCTTCCTTTAGCCGTGAAAATAGGATTCTCTATGGGAACTCCCTGGACCAGCCATAACTAACTGCTTAGGACCCTGGAGAAGAGGAGAAAGGTCTTGAACCAAGGGAGAAGGCTGTTGAGAAGAGGTGAACTGTCATGGCTTTTACTACCTT